CCGTTTTCTGAGGCAGTGTGTGGTGAGCTGGGCGGTGCTGTTCAACATGAGAGGGAACCTGTCACAGCACTCATCTAAGAACTGCAACATCATACAGTGTCACAACCTCTGCTGTAGCGCCACCTGCTGGTTAACTCGGGAGTTTGTAAATCACTTTTCTGTAAGAATGTAAGAAGAAACCTTACATTCTTACTTAATACAAAAAGTGATTTACTGGCATAAACACACTGTTGACAATTCAACTTTGACAAGGTGTTTTATGCTGTTTTGTGTCTTTATGTGACATCATTTTTCGATGGAATCAGAAGTCCACTGACAACATTGCAGCAGGCAAAGATACATGTATTTAATATTAATAATGGCTACATTCAGTTTTGTTCACTGCTTATTGAAGCACTATAATGGTCTTGTTTATTTTCTCCTTTCTAAATGCTCCAACTTTATTTCATCTTCACTTGGTTATTTTAATCTGGCAATATTCAATAAGCATCTTCTTTGGAAACCTGCCATTTAATTAACATTGTATATTGTTGTATATTGTGCTCATATACTACATACACATACAGTCATGTATAATCAAATTACCACAAACTTACTAACTCTCAATCATGACAAGCTTAATGGTGTAAACTTTTCTTTTTAATTAAATGAACTTAGGTAAATGGACTGCATTTATATGCCTTTTTTCTGCGACATGCCAAAGCCCCTTTTCAATACAAGCAGGCATTTACCCTTTCAAACACAGAGGCTGCCATACAAGGGGCCACCTGCCACCATGCCATGGGATGTTGGGGTTCAAGGACATGTTGACCGCAAGGGTTGGGGATCGAACCAGCATCCCTCCTACTGGTGGACAACCAGGGTATAGGGGGTCTCTTAACGTTTGGGTAACATCATCCAAATATAAATCCAACTTTTTTCCAACCAAAGCAACCAGCAGCACTTGCAAAAGGGCTTTGAACGTTGCCAATTTCAACACTGACCTCCCAAAAAATAATGTTGTTAAAACATATTACCCACTCGACTAAAAGGTTATCAATTATTCTTTTTGGGGATCTCACTTTGCTCTAGTGTGTTATATATACATTGGAGGAAATAAGTATTTGATCTCTTGTCGATTTTGTAAGTTTACCCATACAAAGAAATTAACAGTCTATAATTGTGTAGCGTTGCTTACCTCCAGAAGGACTTTTAGCTGTTTCCCAGTAGAGACTAGAGAAAGCTGCCAGAGCGGTTGCTCTCAGAAGAGCAGCATTGGGCGGACCAGTTAAGCACCAGAAAAGCACAAGAATGTTTGCAAACCACTTAAGTACTGGAGTGTGGTGCTGTTGCTTTGGTCTGGATCTGTGAGCTAACCACGCCCCGTTCATTTGCATGTAAGGAATGGAAATGTGGCATTATGAAATACAAGTCTCTTGAAATAAATAAATGTGTATTTAAATGTACATGTATACATATTTATTTATTTCAGAATTTATTTCATAGGCATATTTATATATATATATGTATTTATTTATTTAATTTAGTCTTAAATGGCATTCCATACAGGATCGGGTTTTGTCCTCTATGGTTTTGTCCCGCATGGCTCAAAACGGCTCAATAGGCACACACTGTAGACACTAATTAGAAGAACACAGACTAAAACAGCAATGTACAGACTAATCAGATGATTAAACATGATCTTAAAATATATTTTATATTTTTTTTAATTAATTATTTTGCATTTCATCCAATTATTATTTGTAATACTTTCTGCTGACACTAGGTGGGGCTGTGCCCCTAATGACCAGTCGCCACTGATAATAGGAGACCTTTAAAAAGCATGGAGACATTTCCCAGTTGAGGCGAGGCACACAATTAAATGATGTACATGGAAATGAGCTTAACAGGGCAGTATACATTACTAAAGGTTAAGCGCTGTAGTTTCCCATGGCTGGATAGTGAAACTGAAGAGGTTTTAAGACTCTCTCTCCCCCCCCCCCCCCCCCCCCCCTCCTCTGCACACAGTCCTGGTTTGGACCGGCTCCGGTTTGGAGGTCAGTTTCTTCTGTCGGAACCACCCATCTGACCGGCGACACGTCGCATGGGACCGAATAGAGCTCAGCATTTTATGTTAATTTCGTTACTTGTCTTTTTTTAATTCATCCGTTTAATGAATTCTGGACCGACTTCAGAACCAAATTGTGCGCGAGTGTAACGTTTTTTGTCCAGCTAAACTTGGACGGACCCGTCCATCGGAGCTGTGGAGACGTGAGGAAGCTTTTGAAGACGTGTGGGCCGTTTTTAAGCGTTAGGAAGTTGGACATTTATCCTCTTGTTTAGCCAATAGAACCGGCGGACTGGCTGTTTGTTCTTTCCGCTGTCAGACTGGCCCTGCTCCGGTTTAGTTTCAACTTTCAAATAGTAATACCCGATAATTACACTGGGACTAGTTTCTTCAGAGAGCGGTTCATTGTGTTCCATGGAGATGTGGCGCAGACTCTCGCTGCTGGTTCTCTGCTGTGCTGTGGGGGGGCTGGATGCGCTGGAGCCGACAAGCAGCACCGAATCTTCAAGGGAGAAGATGCTGTTGACCGAAGCAGGGGAGCTGGGTAAACCGGACAATGATGCTCCCCCAACGGCTAAAGTGGAGGTCAGTCAGCGGGGAGGGGAGCAGCGGTCCACGGGGAGAGGCCACCAGCCCACCGCCGAGCCTCTGGAGGAGGAGCTGGACAACCAGGAGAACATCATCAGCCAGGTCAGTGCAATGGGCCAAAGTAGCAGAGGTGGAAGAAGTACCCAGATATTGTACCTAAGTAAAAGTGGAACTACCACAGAATCGGAATACTATGTTACAACTAAAAGTCCTGCAATCAAAATGTTCCTCAAGTAAAAGTAGAAAAGTATTGGCATGAAAAATATACTTAAAGTACTAAAAGTAAAAGTAGTGATTGTGCAGATTGGTCCATTTCAGAATAATATATATGATATGTTTTATAATGATTGATCATGAAAGTGTTCTCAAAGCTGGTGAAGGTGCAGCTAGTTTGAATGACTTTGTATTCTGCAGGGTAGCTTGTGGATTTACTCCAGGTGGAACTAAAGTCTGATTTAACACTTGATTATATTTCACATCATTCATCCACATCTGTAAAGTAACTAAAGGGCTGTCAGCCTTCCATCTGTGCACAAACTTATCTCGTGCCCTCATTGGTCATGTGTGTTGGAGGAGGGGCTCTGTAAGGAAGTGGCAGATTTTTTCCGGTTGTGTATTTTCAAATTCTAGTGCACTCGAGCTTTTCTCCAAAATTACCTGCCCCACCTTTAAGTAAACATTAAGTAGTACTGTACTCAAGTACTTAAGTAAAGTACTTTACTTGAGTATTTCCATTTAAAGGTGATCTATCATGCAAAATGCACTTTTTGATGTCTTTTATATATAAATATGTGTCAACGGTGTGTAAGGGAACTCACGCAGCGTCAGAAAATAAAACCCTCTCTCTTTTCCTTCGTACCCAAATCTATTAAAAACGGGGATATAACGAGCGGATACACATTTGCTGCCGATCTGACGTCAAATCGTCAGCGGACCCACAGAAAATTGCTATCAGAAACAATACCTGATGTGTTTTGGACGTAATCTCGTCTTTGTTTACATTAGCAAGCCATGCTAACACTCAGAGCTAACCTGTACTGGAGAGCACATGTGTTTAAAAAGCAGGAAATAAAAAAAGGAACACACCTTGTGATAAACCTGCAAGAGAAAAAGCATTTGAGCTCCATATTGTTTCAGAAATAATCCTTGATGTGGTTTAAACAGGATGGCGTTTTATCACAGCAGAATTGAACTTTATCTCCGGTAGAATTCTGATCAGGCATTAGCTCCGCCTCCTTTTTTTTTCTCAAGCTAAGGACCCAAGATCCGCGTTTCTCCAACAGAGCTGCAAAAGAGGGGTGAGCAGTAGCATGGCATGGCTACAACGGGTGATCTGTTTGGTATTTTAAGCAAAAGCTTCACAGACATGTTTTGTATAGGTATGGCCCTACAATATATGTTTCCAATATAGCATAATAGGTCCACTTTGATGCAGATTCATATATCTACTAGACCAGTGGTTCTCAACTGGTGGGTCGCGACCCAAAAGTGGGTCGCGGACCCGTTTCGATTGGGTCGCGGATGTGTGAGTGAAGAAAAAAAAACATTTGGAATTTTTTTTTTTTTTGGGGGGAAAAGTTAAACTTTTATTTTGAAGGCCCGATTTTTTAACGCTGCAGTAGGCGTTGGACTGGAAGTACCGGAGACCATAAACGGTTTTGAAAACTTCTGTCACATAGTGATCATCTTCTCAATAAAATATCTTTGCTGATGTTTTTTCGAGTCTTCTGGCCAATCAGAATCAAGATTGTTGCCGGAAGTCCCCACGGAGAATAACTTTGCGGTAGAACTCTTCTTTATACAACCATGGGTACAACTTCAGATATAAATGAACACATAATGAAATATGACCCCCGGTTTGATGATTGACAGGTCACAGAACAATGGGGGCTATCTACCCTTACCCACAATGTAAAGTAAGTCACACAGACTCTCTCCTCTTTACTCTTCTCGCAGCAAGATGTCAGAACAAAGTGAAAAACAAACAATGGCATAACATATTACTATTATGTCGGGTAGTAATAGATTTATTTATTTTCTTCTCAGTGTACCAGAATGCATAGTTTATGTTAGTATTTCTAAAAATCTCCTGGGGGAGAATCCCCCCCAGACCCCCCTGCTGGGGTTGGGTTTTCAGCATGCGTGCCTTTTTATATAGTTCAGCTTTGATTCCATCATCTCATTAAACCTTTTTTAAAAGCATACTTTAGTTCTGTGAAGGGATATAAGGTATATATGCACTGTACTTCACTTTTATTAATATTGTATGCTGAAAAGCGTATATATTACAGCACGATTTTTTGTTGAATAGATTTGAGTGCTTCAAAATGTTGGGTCGCGATGTATTGACCAAGTAAAAAGTGGG